GAGCAAAGACAGGGGAGACAGAGAATCCCAGGCAGGCTTTAATGTCAGCACAGAGCCCAATGTGGGGCTCAAACCCACGAACTGTGTGTGAGACCATGATCTGAACCAAAACCAAGAGTCAGACGCTTAACCGACTGAGCCATCCTGGCACCCTTGATTTCTTTATTTAAAGCATTATTGTGTACTGTAGAAAACAAACCAAAATCGTTCTCTTATAGGCTTGTCGCAAAACAGTGGGACTAGAAGAGTGCCAAGGAATTCATAGGGGTTGGGCAGACTTGTTCCTAAACCATTCTAGAACATATCTGTTTATTTTCAAGATGATTAAAAAAATATTTGGCAGCTTTCCTCGGTGGCCTGTGATCCTCTTTAATAACACCCACTTCCTTTTGTTTAACTAAAATAATAAAAGTACAGAGAGATGAAACTTTCCCAACAAGGTTGCCAATCAGTAAATGTTATTTGCTTACTCTAAACTTGCTTTATCTTCCAGGACTAACAATAAAGAATGATGTGGGAGCCGTAAACTGCCATCTCTTGGCAATAGTCTCTTGTTATTACGAACATCGGTAGATGAGGGATGTGGTTTCTCAAAGGGACTTAAGTATTTTGGGCACGGTTCCAGGGACATTGTGTTCTTCTCGACCTCAGCCATTTCTGCTGTGTCGAAGACACTGTGCTTTGGAGATGAAAGGCCACTTTGGAAGGGGTGGAAAGCTCCAGAGTATAGGTACAAAATGGACTTGACCTTTACTCAAGATTTTTTCCCTTTCATTTCTAAGGAGCGGTAGCCATTTGGAAATATTGAAAAAGGGCGGACATCTTTGTGAGAAAACAATACAATCACATTTAAGAGAGTGAGAAGGTCTCAATCAAGAGACAGCTCCACTCCCTGCCATTGCCGTTGAGTTTAGAAGCAGGCCGTGGAGGAAATAAGCCTTCTAGAGCTTTCTGAGAAAGGCAGAGGTGACATGTAGGTGCCTGTGCCCATATATATGAACTTCTTTAGTGGAATAAGAGCAGAGACAGCACCTGGGTGGCTCAGGCGGTTGAGCATCCGACTTCCTGCTTGGGTCATGATCTCATAGTTTGTGGGTTCGAGCCCCTCATCGGGCTCTGTGCTGACAGCTCAGAGCCTGGAGCCCGCTTCGGATTCTGTGTCTCCCTCTCTTTCTGCCCCTCCCCTGTTCACGTTCTCACTCTCTCTCTCTCAAAATAAATAAACATTAAAAAAACAACAGAGAAGCCAGACAGGCGCCCCTGTTGAACTATCTTTATGATACTTTTCTCAATGTCCCCAGATGATTGAGCATGTTTGTTTTTATAAAAAAATCATTTTTTTCAAAGGAAAGATCAGCTTCATATGAGACTATTACTTGAGTATAAACACATTTTACCGAGAAAAATGCAGATTTTTCCTGATTTCAATTAAGGGAAGAATTGTAATGAGAACCAGCTGTTCTGAAGGTTGCCCATGAGCTGTTAAGCCCAGTCTGACTCCTTTTCATAGCTGGTTTTGCGTTCTGGGTGAAACGTCTGCCTATTTTTCAGGGTTCACCCTGTTTCCTCAACAGTCAGCTAATACCCCCGAGCTTCTTCGTCTCCATCTGCATTCCTCAGAAACATAAAAAATGTGTGTGGAAGATTTCTAAACTTTCACATTTCCCAAGTTGTCTTTCATTTAGTTGGAAGGTTAAGATGTCTCTATCTCCACATTCTGTTGACCACATAGGAGGCCAGAAAGCCTAATGTTTATGAGTAAAGAGTCTTTGGGAACAGGACATTTCTGCTCTACTATTTTCTAACTCATATCCCTGGGCTTTAGTTTCCTCATTTATAAAATGGAAATAGTAACAGGGCTTGCCTCCACAGGGTTGGGGAGAGAGAATGCATACGAAGAGCTTAGCCAGGGCCTGGCATGGAGAAAGATCTCAATGAATGTCAGAAACAGGGGCGCCTGGGTGGCGCAGTCGGTTAAGCGTCCGACTTCAGCCAGGTCACGATCTCGCGCTCCGTGAGTTCGAGCCCCGCGTCAGGCTCTGGGCTGATGGCTCGGAGCCTGGAGCCTGTTTCCGATTCTGTGTCTCCCTCTCTCTCTGCCCCTCCCCCGTTCATGCTCTGTCTCTCTCTGTCCCAAAAATAAAATAAAAAAAAAAAAAACGTTGGAAAAAAAAATTAAAAAAAAAAAAAAGAAATAATGGTGGTGATATGGGCGGTGTTGATGATAAAGGTTTGGAGTCTCGAAAAGTCGTGTTGCAGCATAACAACATCGCATTTTTCAGATAAGAAACCAGATCACATGATCTGCCAAGGTTGTTTCAATTTGCTACTGTGGCAGGCAAAACTAGTTATCACTTAATGGCTGCCGTATATTGTTACTCAGTTGAAGTGTGCGTGCACGCGTCCATGTGCAAGTGTGTGCACATGAATGCAAATGCTGTTAGGTCTTGCGTCCTTTCCCTGATGGTCAAGAGTTTTGCTTTGGCTACCTCCCACCTTTTGAAATCCAACACAGTTATGGGGCACCTGGGTGGTTCAGTTGGTTAAGTGTATGACTCTTGGTTTTGGCTCTGGTCATAATCTTGTGGTTTCGGGAGTTCAGGCCCTGCGTCGGGCTCTGTGCTCAGAGCACGGAGCCTGCTTGGGATTCTCTGTCTCCCTCTCTCTCTGCCCCTCCCTCACTTGCACTGTGTCTGTCTCTCTCAAAATAAATAAATAAACTTCCAAAAAATTTTTAAGTCCAACACAGTCCTTAATATTGTACAGTGCATACAATAGGCTTTCTGCAAATACTGGGTATGTTTTTATTTGATAAAAAAAATAGGGGTGCCTGGGTGGCTCAGTCGGTTGGGCGTCCGACTTCGGCTCTGATCTCGCCATTTGTGGGTTTGGGGCCTGCGTTGGGCTGTGTGCTGACAGCTCAGAGCCTCGAGCCTGCTGCGGATTCTGGGTCTCCATCTCTGTCTGCTCCTCCCCCATTTGCACTCTGTGTCTTTCTCTCTCAAAAATGAATAAACATTAAAAAAATTTTTTTAAATCTCATGCAAAATTGTATTAGTAGATGACATTTTGATCTTCTGGATGTTTTATTTTAAAGGAACTAAATTAAGAAATAAGACCTTAGAACATACCTAGACCTGGTCTCTTTTTCCCAAGGATTCACTCTTGCCTCACGCTTGCGTTTACACAGCGCAGGGCTTGTCATGCAGTTGAGATGAAATAAATGGCGGCTCATCAATCGCTGTCTTTGTGTTAGCGGTCTTGGTACCAAGCAATAAAAAGCAACTCGGGCCAACAAGAGAATCATCGAGAGCCTGGAGGGCCACACTTGGGAATAGGCAAAGATCAGGGGAGCTCTGGCAAGTCAGAGGCAGGAACCACAGCCATAGCGTTTAGAGCAGGAAGCATCTGCACAGCATGCTGCCATGGGAAAGAAGAACCCATAGTCAGCTTCCTTCTGTTGTCGGGCGACTCATTCCAGGGTCAGAGAGTGTGTGATTGGCCCAGCTCAGCCTGGCTGCACCAGGAGCCAGGGTGGGTGGAGAAAGGATCTAGCCCATTGCCTGCTATACTGGGGGATGATACCCAGGAGGAGAAGCAGTTTCCCAAAAAGAAACCAGGATAATACTTGAAAGGAAGTGTGGATGCTGAGCGACCAAGAAATGTCAAATGCCCATTGTTCCGGGTTCTCCTATTTTGACTCTTCAGGCATGGTCGCTGGTCTAGCCAGTCTCTTTATTTCGCCTGTTTGTTTTTAAAAAAAATTTTTTTTAACGTTTATTTATTTTTGGGACAGAGAGAGACAGAGCATGAACGGGGGAGGGGCAGAGAGAGAGGGAGACACAGAATCGGAAACAGGCTCCAGGCTCTGAGCCCTCAGCCCAGAGCCCGACACGGGGCTCGAACTCACGGACCGCGAGATCCTGACCTGAACTGAAGTCGGACACTTAACCGACTGCGCCACCCAGGCACCCTATTTTGCCTGTTTGAACCCTACAGTACAGTCTCAGATATTCTGCTTTGTGGTTCCAGCCCTCTATGTGGTCCAAGGTCCTCTATGTGTGTCATCATCCTGGTCTCATCTGAGTGGGAACATCGTTCCAAAGAGATTAGATAGAAACTCAAGGGTTGAGAATGTTGCGGCATCGGCATTAGATATTAAGATGAGCTACCTTTCTTTATTTTCTCTCTATAAGCAGAAATAAGTTCACAGGTATTATTGCCTATAAGTTGAAAACTAGTAACACAGCACCAGGGGGAATTCTGCTAATCTAATTGAAATTTGGGGCTGGTGTAGGCAAAATGTTATTTACTTTCCATCAAAGGTGACGCTTTTTGTAACAGTAGAGGATACTGTTAGTTTGAAAATGGCTCTCAGGTTGGCTTGGTTTTGTCTTTTAGAATGCCATCCTATTTTAAGGTATTATCCTTTGCTTTTGTCTTATAGGGGAAGACTTATCCTTTTCGGGGCGCCTTTCCTCCAGTGTGGAATCCTGTCGCGTATTTGGATTACAACAATCTGTGGCGGACAATGGATAACATGGGGAAGGAGGTAAAACATGTGTTCGTTCGGCTTACCTGTGACCAGTTACTAAAATAACAATAGCACCTGTTTCATACCCTTCCAACAGCGCAGGGAACATGGCTCTGGACATTAATGCGTGTCATTTCCACTTGTGAGGAAGATGAGTGCCGGGGGTTACGTCGATTTGCCCAACACCACACGGCAAGGGAACCAGGATTCAAACGCATTGAATTGTCATGCTCTGATTGTCATGCCTGTGTGCTTCTAGCTCTATGCCACGTGAGAACTCATGTGACATATTCTTACCAGGTGTCCTGCTCGTAGTTGTCTTACTCATGTGTGATACCACTTTAGACAGTAAAGGAAAGAGGGATTTGTTCCCCCAGAGTATTTTTACCTTGTCCCAAGCTCTCATACTTAAATTGGGGACTTAATGATAACGATGATCAACATCATCATAATTTCATATTAATTTACGTATACATTTATGTGTAATTCCCCCCCTTTTTTGCATAATAGTAATAATAATTATTATTTTGGCAACAGCATTAAGGCATAGAATCCAAAGACCTATCCATCCCAACCCCATCACTGTCTATAGTAGAATTTTATGACAGTCACTCATTCTGACACAGACACAGAGGCTGGATTTAAGGGGTGCTTCTCAAAGCTTCTTGGTGGGGCAGTAGGCAGTAACCAGCACACCTTTGTGGGCCCTTCTTCCTCTGCAGATTCCAGCCGATGCACCATGGGAGGCCCCACATGCTAAGGAATGGGACAAGATGACCATGAAAGAGCTCATCGATAAAATCTGCTGGACAAAGTAATCCTCGACTATTTAAAATTCACTTTTTTATCTTTTCTTTGGATCTTCTCTGTCCGATCTTGCACTGTGGTGTTTTTTGTAATCAGCTGGAGGAAAAAAGTTACGAGGAAACCTAATGATCTTTCAGTCAGGAGCAACTTGGGGGGGAACTTCAGACACTTCAGAGTGGGTATGAACATAAAAGGAACCTAAAATAATAGAAAAAGTGGAGGCGAAGGAAGTAGATTTTTTTTTTTTTTAAATGAAAGGGCTGTGTGATTTGCAGTAAAGCAAGTAGTTGTGTACTCAGATTCTGTAGTGGTCAGCTACAGAAGCAATTTGGGAAGGTATCAAAGTTAATTCCCTACAGGTATAGAAAAATACGAAACTGAAGGAAAGCTGGTCTGTGTTAATGAGAAATAGAAATTTTCTAACGTTTTCATCGAGAACCTGTGTCATTAGTTGAGTTACTTACAGATCATTTAGTCAGCTTTCTGGGGCTGCTATCTGAAGGCACTATACCAACCTGTGGGAAATGGCAGGGAATTTGTTAGGCATGGCCCCTAAACTCACAGAGGGAATATTCTTCTAGCAGGAGAGACTGACATTATACACATAATTTCATTATGTTGCAGGAGTGACTGTAACAGGGAACTTGACCTGAAGGTGAGGGAGAGATTCCTAGATGCAGCAGTCTTTAAACATAAACCAAGGACTTAGGGCATCAACTGAAATGAGTCACAGTGGATGAGAGGAGACAGGAAAGGGTGGGTGGTATGGGGGACAAGGTATCTTCCAGGAATGCCACATAGTGGATAGGGGAGAGAGAGAGGAAAGATGGATGGTGTGGAAAGAAAGCTCTTCCAGAAATGAGCCTTAGTATTGGGGGATAGACAGGAAGGGAGGATGATGCGGGAATATGTTATCAACAAGGGATGTGCCACAGTGAATGGGGGGAGACCAAATGGATGGATGGTGTGGGGATGGCATATTCCAGGAATGAACTGTAACAGATGGGGAGAGTAGGAAGAGTGGATGCTGTGGGGGAATGGTATCTTCAAGGGATGAGCCACAGTGGAAGGGGGGAGAAATGAAAGGTGGACAGTATATGCAGATGGTGTCCTCCATGAATGACTCACAGTGTTTGCTGGTAGACAAAAAGGCTGGATGGTGTGTGGGGGGATGGTATCTTCCAAGAACGACCCAACTGATGGGAGAAAGAGTAAGAATGAAATGTGTGAGGGGATGGTATCTTTCGGGTATGAGACACAGTGGACTGGGAGAGACAAGAATGGATGCTTGGTGGGATAGTGTCTTCCATGAGCAAGCTTTATGAGGCACAGTGGATAGTCTGTAGGAGTGATATCTTCCAGGAATGAGGAAGAATGGATAGTGTTGGTAGTTAGTATATTCAAGAATAAACCGTAGTGCGTGGTAGGAGACAGGAAGGTGGGATGGTGTGGTGGGATGGTATCTTCTAGGAATGATCCACTGTGGATGGGGGAGACAAGGTAGATGGATGGTGTGGAAGGATGGTATGTTCCATGAGTGAGTCATAGTGAGTGGGGGGAGACAGGGAAAATAGACGGTGTAGGAATATGGTATATTCAAGGAATGAGCCATAATGGATGAGGAAGGGCATGAGAGATTGATGGTGTGGAGGATGTTATGCCCCAGGAATAGGGCCTAGTGGATGGAGGGGGAGTGGCGGGAGACAGAAATGGTGGATGGTTAGTGGGGGGATGGTATCTTCCAGGAAGCAATCACAGTAACTGGGGTAGGGGCTGATGGGAAGGATAAATGATGTAGGGGATTGTATCTTCCAGGAATGAGTTATAGTGACTGTTTGTGAGAGACTGAAAAGGGTAGATGATGTTGGAGCATATTATCTTCCAGGAAGAGCTATAGTGATGGGGGAGATAAAGTGAATGGTGTGTGGGGATGGTATCATCTAAGAATGAGCCACAAGGGTGATGGGAGACAGGAAGGATGGATGGTGTGTGTGGGGGGGGAGGGGTGCGGGTAGGGGGGTATCTTCCAGAAATGCCCTATGGAAAGAGAAAAGACTGGAAGAGTTGTTGACTGGATGGTATCTTCCAGGAAGGATCGACAGTGGATGGGGGGAGATGGGAAAGTTTGGATGGTGTGGGGAGTTGGCATTTTTCAGGACTGAGCCACAGTGAGTGAAGAGAGACTGTAAATAAGAATGAATGGATTGGTGGGATGGTATCTATCTTCTAAGAATGGGCCATTATCCATGGAGGTAGGAAAGGGAGGAAGGTTTGAAGGAATGGTATCTTCTAGGAATGAGCCACTGTGGATGGGCAAGACAGGAAGGATGGATGGTGTGGGGGGCATGGTATCTTCCAGAAATGTGCCAATTGATGGGGGAACATTGGAAGAGCAGATACAGTGAGGAGCTGGTATCTTCTGGTATTGAGCCACAGTGTTTAAGGGAGACAGGAAGAGTGAGTGGCTGGTGGGGAAATTATATTTTTCAGGATAGAATCACAGTGATTGGGGTGGTGAGGGTAGGGTTGGGGGCGGGAAGGTGATGTGGTAGTGAGATAATATTCTGGAAAGGGTAGCTGAATGATAAGGGGGATGGTATCTTCCAGGAATGAGCCACATGGGTAGGGGGAGACAGGAGGGTTGATGGCAGGGGTGGGAGTGATGGTATCTTCCAGGACTGAACCACAGGGATGGGAGAGAGTGGATGGTATAGGGAGATGGTATTTTCAGAACTGAGCCATAGTACATGTTGGGGGATAGGAAGGGTGGATGGCCCATTTTATGATGGTATCTTCCAGGAAGGAACCACAGTGACTCAGGTGTGTTGGGGGGGGGGGCATAGGAAGGATACATGGTGTAAGGGATGGTATTTTTTGGCAATGAGCTACATGTCTGGATGAGAGACAGGAATAGGGATGTTGGAACATGCTGTCTTCCAGGAATGAGCCATAGTGGATGGAGGAGACAGGAAAAGTGGATGGTGTGAGGGGATGGTCCCTTCCAGGAACAAGCTACCTTGCTGTAAGAGGAGACAGGAAGGGTGCATGATATGCCTGTTAAGTAACTCCCAAGAATGAGGTGCAGTGGATGAGTGTAGACAGTATCAGGGAGTGATGTTAGAGGATGGTATCACAGGAATGAGCGAGGTTTAAGGGAGATACGAAGAGTGAACGTTGTTAGGGGAATGGTATCTTCCAAGAATCGGCCACTGTAGATAGAGGAGACCGGAAGGATGGATGGCATGACGGATGGTATCTTCCAGCAGTGAGCCACTGTGGAGGATGGGGGAGACGGAAAGATGGATGGCGTGATGGGTGGTATCTTCCAGGAGTGAGCCGTTGTGGATGGGGGAGACCAGAAGGATGGACAGTATCTTCCAGGAATAAGACACTGTGTATAGGGGAGACTGGAAAGATGGATGATGTGATGGTTGGTATCTTCCAGGAGTGAGCCACTATGGATGGGGAAGATTGGAAGGATGGATGGTGTGGTGGATGGTATCTTCCAGGAGTGAGCCATTGTGGATGGGGGAAACCGGAAGGATGGATGGTATCTTCCAGGAGTGAGCCACTGTGGATGGGGGAGACCAAAAGGATGGATGGCATTATGGATGGTATCTTCCGGGAGAGAGCCACACTGGATGGTGGGAGGCCGGAAGGATGGATGGTATCTTCCAGGAATGAGACACTGTGGATGGGTGAGACCGGAAGGATGGATGGTGTGATGAATGGTATCTTCCGAGAATGAGCCACTGTGGATGGGGGAGACCGGAAAGATGGATGGCGTAATGGATGCTATCTTCCAGGAGTGAGCCGTTGTGGATGGTGGGAGATATGAAGGGTGAGTGGTGTGGAGGATGCAGTTTTCCATGTAGAGAGAGCGGGAAACAGTTCTTGAAGGCCCTGAGATGGGGAGATTGACATGTTTTTGCAATGATAGGACAGTATGCCTGGACTCTAAGGATGTCATGACAAAGTGACGTAATTAAGAGGTCGGAGAGCTCACTGGGAGCTGATGGTGCAAGATATCGTGGCCCCATTCAAGATTTCTACCTTTTACCATGCATGTCATTGAAGGGTTTTATGAAGTGTGTTTTTGTTTTGCACTGTCAAAAGAGTTCATTGGCTGTAACGTGGCAAAGGATCAAAAGAGGGTGTGGTCATAAACCAGGTAGGGATGCCCGGAGGAGTCACCACTGCCCTCACATCCCAGGTGAGGGATGTTGGTGGCCTGGATCAGAGTGGAAGTAAGTGGTGGAGGCAGAGAAGAGAGAATGTTTGTTCAAATCAATGAGAATTATATCCTTAATGATCCATCTCAAGAATATTGACCCTCTAGACTGTTCCAGAATGAATATATTTGGAGCTGACTCAGGATTCCCTAAAAGCAAAGGAAAAGCTTATTTTCACCAAGAGTTAAAACATGCACTCCTTCAGAGACTGAGCCCGTGAGAGTTTTTTTTCTCCCCCCAAAAGCAACACAAATGCTTTCTAAATTATGGTTTAAAAAGATGCGATATCCTGTGAAGCATGTATGTATTTACGCCTGATGGCTGCTCTTGTTATGTGACCAGGACTGCTAGGCAATTTGCATATCTCTTCGTGAACATCAATGTGACCTCTGAACCCCACGAGGTGTCTGCGCTGTGGTTCCTGTGGTACGTGAAACAGTGTGGAGGCACCACTCGGATATTCTCGGTTACCAACGGGGGCCAGGTACGGAGTGTCCATTCCCCCCCACCCACCAACTTCCTTTGTGATTTTGCCCTCACCCAGGGTAGTGTCTTACAAGGTAACCGCTTCCACGTTTTGAAACGTGAGTGAATTTGGAACCTGAGTTTTGGAAATGGTTTCAACCAACTTGCCTGAAAACAGTTCTCATTTCCTTTTCTCCTTCCTGAAGATGAGTTCGCAGCTAAAGAATGTTCCGTCTCAAATTAATTAGATTTGGGGAATTCAGTCCCTTCCTTTTTTTTTTTTTGAAGGTAGGGAAAATTAGTCCCTGTAGGAGGAGCCAAATTCCTACAATCAAGTGATTTTCGAAAAAAATCCTCGAATGGGTAAAATGATCATGCTTCAGGTTATTTCTGTTCTAGGCATGCTCTGTACTGTAGCGCAAGGTGTAGAGTCTTTCTCCAACCAGTGAATAGTTCCTTTCCTTAGGAAATTTCCAGAACTTTCTAAGTTGTTCTTGTGGCCCCAAGAGCTATTGCCCATTTGACCCTTAGCTTCAGCAAATGTAGGACACTTGCATCTTTTCAGTATCTTTATACTTAGAAATTCCACATTGCTTCTTTTGACCTGTATTTTGCTTTCTGAGCTATCATGACTGCTATTGTGTGATTGTAGCCTCATCACCTGCCTTCTCCTCTAGGAACGGAAGTTTGTGGGTGGATCTGGTCAAGTGAGTGAACGGATAATGGACCGCCTCGGGGACAGGGTGAAGCTGAAGCGTCCTGTCACCTATGTTGACCAGTCAGGTGACAGCATCATCATAGAGACGTTGAATCATGAAGTGTATGAGGTAATTCAGCCTAGCCAAAAAAGAGCATATACTAAGCAGGCCTCGTGTATTCTGCAACTTGTAACCAAATGTGACCCAGACAGTGGGGTAATTAGTGCCGGCACATTTCCCCCTCTGTCTTCCAAATGACCACTTTTAGTTGACCTGCCTTGTTCTGCTGTGTCGCCTCACAGTGGCCTCAGTTTGTATGTGGTAACTGCTCAGGGTCATTCAAGATGGTAAATATGATGTTTCCCACCCTCTGTGAAGACCGACACTCACGCGTCTAAGGTGGTATTTTGTGTCTGTGTGTTTCAGTGCAGATACGTAATTAGCGCCATCCCTCCAACATTGACTGCCAAGATGCACTTCAGACCAGAGCTTCCGTCAGAGAGAAACCAGTTAATTCAACGTCTTCCGATGGGATCTATCATTAAGTGCATGATGTATTACAAGGAGGCCTTTTGGAAGAAGAACGGTAGGTTGAACTTACTCATGTTTAAAATGTGTTAAGTGAAAGGACCACACTCTTTTAGGGACCTTATAGTAGATACCGAACAGAAAATAGATTAAAAATGTCCGTGTTGGGGGCGCCTGAGTGGTTCAGTCGGTTGAGCATCCGACTCTTGATTTCAGCTCAGATCACGATCCCAGGGTCATGGGATCCAGCCTCGCATCGGGCTCTGTGCTGAGCATAGAGCCTTCTTGGGATTCTTTCTCTCCCTCCTTGCCCCCCTCCCCTGCTTGTACTCTCTCTATCTAAAAACAATTTTAAAAAGGGGCACCTGGGTGGCTCAGTCAGTTAAGTGTCTGACTCCTGATTTCAACTCAGGTCATGATCTCAGGTTCATGAGATCGAGTCCCCCCCCATCGAGCTCTGCGCTGATGGCACAGAGCCTGCTGGGGATTCTCTCTCTCTGCCCCTCCCCCTCCGGCTTGTTCTCTCTCACTCTCTCAAATAAACATTAAGAAAAAGGTAAGTGTTTTTATTTTTTTTTATTTTTTTTTTTTAATGTTTATTTCTGAGACCGAGAGAGACAGAGCATGAGTGGGGGAGGGGCAGAGAGAGAGGGAGACACAGAATCAGAAGCAGGCTCCAGGCTCTGAGCTGTCAGCACAGAGTCGAACTCACAAACCGTGAGATCATGACCTAAGCCGAAGTCAGTCGCTCAACCGACTGAGCCACCCAGGTGCCCCGAGGTAAGTGTTTTTAAATGGGTAGAGAAAGGATCAGAAATCTCAGGCTGTCCATCTCTTCATAGCCTCTAGCAACACAAAATGATCCCAGCACGACTTGCTGTCAATGAAAGGAAAGGAAGAGACCCCACCAGTTGTGGGGCCCTGGTTCCTGCCTTGGGTCCTGCCACTTACTCTTCGTGAGCAGAGTGACACGGAGGGGTTCTGTGGGGAGACCGCTGCTCTGAAGCCCCGCAGTCGTGGGCTTCCCTTGCTTACCAGCTGAGCGGCCTTGGTGTGGCACTACCTCTCCGCCTCCGTGTCTTTGTGTAGAATGGCAACAAGGAGGCCTACTGTCAGGGTGTTTCGAGAATGAGATGAGGCAGGGCCTGGGTGGATATGGTGGCTGTCGTTGCTAAACCTGCTCATACTCAAAGGATTCCTTCCGCCAGCTTCTTCCATGGGCTCATAGGGCTGATTCCGTCTAACTCAAGCACCTGTTACCCCGTGTAGCCCAGGGCTCCAGGGACACGGTACAGTGTGAGCCACGCATTGGTCATACGTGACCATTATGTAAAGCTCATAGACATGGGTCATTTTCCATGTGTCTGGCTCCACAGACACCCTGTGTAGTTAGTGTGTGTATTGAACAGGAAATACCTACTAGGGGTGGGGCAAAGACTATGCTTTGAGATTTGCCTTCCTCTTAGCAACATAGTTTTTTTTTTTGTCTTATTTCTTTTCTTTTGAGAAAGAGATAGAGGGCACTAGTGAGTGAGGGGCAGAGAGAGACAGAGAATCCCATGAGGGGCAGAGAGAGAGGGAGAGGGAGGGAGACAGAGAAAAGAGAAGTGGGGCACACCCCATGCAGGACTCGAACTCACGAACCGTGAGATCGTGACCTGAGCTGAAGTCAGATGCTTAACTGACTGAGCCACCCAGGCGCCCCGTAGAGTGTTTTTTTGTTGCTGTTTTATTTTTATTTTATTTTATTAAGAAAAAATGTTCTTAATGTTTATTTTTTTTTTTGAGCGAGAAAGAGACTGAGTGTGAGTGGGGAGGGGCAAAGAGAGAGGGACACACAGAATCCAAAGCAAGCCCTAGGCTCTGAGCTGTCAGCACAGAGTCCCATGTGGGGCTTGAAGCCACAAACCATGAGATCATGACCTGAGCCAAAGTCGGACACTCAACCAAGCCACCCAGGTGCTCTAGCAAAATAGTTTTGTGTGTGTGTGTGTGTGTGTGTGTGTGTGTGTGTGTGTGTGTGTGTATTTTTCCCATAAATCTCGGATGAGGTCAATTTCAATCTCCCGATTTTCTCCTTATTAAGATTATTGTGGCTGTATGATCATTCAAGATGAGGAAGCACCCATCTCAATAACTCTGGATGACACCAAGCCAGATGGATCACTGCCGGCTATCATGGGGTAGGTTAGAGCTGGATGCTCTAACTAAATTTCTAAATTTCTAATTCGTATTGGTGTGTTGGTGTGGATGCTGGCAGAGCATATGGAATCGAATGCAAGCAGTCATAAATAACCCTACAGAAATATATCCTGTTCCACGTATTAAAATATTAGAGTAGTGTTTTGCATGTGGCACAAGAACCCTGGAAAGGCTTTAGCCTCGTCTTCATTCCAAGCATCACCGCATAGCATCTGTTGAATACGTTCATTATCACCCTGGTATATAAGAGAGATAGCCAATGAGGAAGTGCTGTTGGAATTAGAGCCAGGCCTCGAGTGGATGTCACTCTTCCCCGTAGGTCGCTCCACGGCTGTCCTTCACTGGGGATGGTTCAGGGTTTGGTTCTGTGTCTAGAAGAGGAGAGCCTCCCTGCTTCTCCTCCCATCCCCGCCCCGCCCTCCCCCTCCAACAGCTACTGTGGCCTCAAAGCTACACAAATAAAAGGGCTGTTGTTTCTACCACATGACACCAGAAGGGCACAGCTTCTGTAACAGGCAAGCGACTTTCAGAGAGACAGGGTGGTTTTCCCTTTCTCCCTGGGGACAGTTGAGCTCACGCAGGTTTGCATCATAGAAGGGAAATTAGCAAACCAAAAGGAGCAGACCCAAGACCCAGGACTCTGCAGGCTGCGTTCCTGGGCTGCTCACAAGATATTTTGCAACCACTTCTCTGGCTGTAAATTGTCAGAAATGGCGCTGGCCTCCCTGGGAAGGGTGAAGGGCAGGCGCTCACGAAGGAACGATCACAGGAACAACACATCCTCCTCGTCTCTAACCCCACTGGGCAAGAAGGGGTCCAGATTACGTGGGCAGTTTGCCATCGCCTTCTTTATGCCAAAGGAAAACAGAAGGTTGAGGTGGAGGTTTTGGGAGACTGTCCGTCAAGAGCAATCCAACTGTGGATGGAAGGACATTGATGTTCTTGCCCTTGGGAGTTAGATACTGTGGCCTCTGCCCTTCTGGGATTTCTTCAGTGTTATTAACAAAGACATGTGTGGCCGTAGTTTTCCAGATGGGAATGGGGCAATTTAGGCAGTTCCTAAAAAGTGATATTCTAATCTGTCTTATCTGGACACCTACATTTATTGCCTCCACCCTGTTCTTGCCTTGACACTGGATTGCCTCTACCCTGCTCTTTGCTCTGGGCAATGAAAGCCTTAACGATAGGGGTGGTAATTGCCCAGCACTGTGTTTGTGATAACTAGTACCTTTTGGAAACTAGAAAGGACCTTGTACTTCAGAGCTGTGAAATGTCCCCCACCCAAAGCCAGCATGTTTAATTTCCTCAATAAAACAGCAAAGAAAGTTAAAGAATAGTCATCCGTGGTTAGAATTAGATCCAAGGGGTTATTTCATTCTCGATTTGAGATTTGACAGGAACGGCCAACACTAACCGCCCTTTAGGAAAGGAGCTGTAAGGGGCACCTGGATGACTCAGTTAAGGGTCCGACTTCGGCTCAGGTGATAACCTCACGGTTAGTGGGTTCAAGCCCCACATCGGCCTCTGTGCTGACAGCTCAGAACCTGGAGCCTGCTTCAGATTCTGTGTCTCCCTCTCTCTCTGCCCCTCCCCTGCTCATGCTGTGTCTTTCTCTATCTCTCAAAAATAAATAAATGTTAAAAAAAAAATTTAAAAAGTAACTGTAAGAAGCACCCAAGATCTGAAAAGGTTTTCAGATATATCATTTAATATTTCATTGGATCCTGGGGATTTTCATTGAAATCCTGTGTAAGCCTAAAATGACTGATTCTGACATACACGTAAAATTTAACCAGAATCATTTCTAGCAAGCCCCATGACGTAACAGTGTTAAATCAAGCAAAATTAGGACTATATCCCATAAAGTTCATTAGTTCCAATTTCTTAAGTAGTCCACAGCTTCCCCCGAAATGCATGTTGTAATCTTTGCTTCCCAGAATGATCTCGAATAATTTCATCCGAGAAAAAATTTCATTGTCCTGTAGCTCATTTGGATTTTTGAACAATTAGTAATATCAACGTTACAGATAAATTATAACTGAGTTTTACTGAGTGATTGAATTTGAAGGCTTTGCTAGGCCAGTTTCTCAGAAGCCAACTTGGAGATGGAGATTTGGGTAGAGGGGATCCGTTGGGGTGTGCGCTCAGGGTTATTGCCCGTGGGGAAGGGAAGGAGTCACGACAGGGCAGGGGGAGAGGTTGGGCACCAGTGTTGTCCCACTGGAGGTCTCGGCCAGCCCTTAAGGAGGTCTAGAGCTGGGATGGCCCTTCAGAGGTGTCGTGCACTGAGGTGCGGGGCTTTGATACCCTCACCGCACCCCAGAGCTAGTCATTCTGGGGAGTGGCAGGACCTCAAGCCAGGCAGTTCTCTGCTGCTGAATGCAGTGGCTGGGGAAGTGTTCACCCATGAGCTGAGGGTAACGAGTGCTTGATCCTGAAGAGGGATCTGGGTGGCTCACCATGGCATCCACCACAGCTATTTACTTCTAGATGTTTTTCCAGCTTTTAAAAAAGAATTTTTTTTTAATTTAATTTATTGTCAAGTTAGCTAACATACAGTGTATACAGCGTGCTCTTGGCTTCGGGAGTAGATTCCCGTGATTCATCACTTACATATAACACCCAGTGCTCATCCCAACAAGTGCCCTCCTCAGTGCTCATTACCCATTTTCCCCGCCCCCCTCCAAGCCCCTTTCAACCCTCAGTTTGTTCTCTGTGT